AAAGCTTTCAACTGACTTACAGCTTTTTCCTTCTCTTTTTGCTGGGAACTTATCTTTTTGAGCCAGGCTGTGCTGCAGCAATCACTTTAAGGAAGAACCACTCCAAGGGAATCCTTAGACAGCTCCTTTATAAAGCAAAGTTAAATCAAACCAGCCGTGGGCAGAATTTCAAGGTCCCCCACAATTCCCAAGTATCAATAAAATTTAAAAAGCACTAAAATTAAACTTGCTTTTACAGCAAAGAGCATGAAAGCTTCATCAAGTTCAAGAGCTGATGGAGAGCTGCTTTGCCAAACTGCTTTTGAGACTTAGCTTGACCTTTATTTGTCTTTGGAGGAGATGGGGCAGCTGAGGGAGAGTTTTGTGCTGAACGTGCCAAGAGCTGAGCGGGCACCAGGAGACCCCACAAACATGCTGGAGCAGATGGGCACGTATTCACAGCAGCACAAAGGACACAACAGTCCATTTCATCAAATAAAATGCAAAACACAAAAGGAAAGTTTGGCTTCTGGGTATCTCTCCCATTCAACTTCCAGCACCCCCTCCTCCTTTTTCCACCTGTCTGGATCCTCCTCCGCACCATGAATAGGAGCTCTGTGATCCCAATGCAAATAAACCCCACACAACAAAGCACCCCCAGCCCAGCTAAACCCCCGGGTTAAAGAGCACCAGCTGGGGAGTGTGTTGCTCAGCATTCCTGCTGCTGGAAAAGCAGCTTTTCCTTTCCCAGGGATGCCAGCGTTGCTGGAAGCACAGCCCACACTGCGGAGTTCCCGGTGCCACTGCAGCCTGGACCAGCTCCTTTAAAATGTTGATTAATTTTAAATTAGCATTAGTAGTTTTGAAATAGAGACTCACAAACCATGTGAAACAGGCAGATGAGTGACATATTAACCAGCAAAGCTTCTGTTCACGCTAAACAAGTTCCAGTGAATGAACAGGACTGTCTTGGACAAACTGGAATCCACAGGTTGGTCGAACCTCCCACTTGAGAAATGCTACACGACTCCAACCAGCGAATTACAAGGAATGTGCTTCCTTTTCATAAACTTCCTCTCCAGCTGGGTGTTTTCCATCAGGAAGTTTCAGGTCACACATCTCATCCCAAGGCACCTCTTCCCCATGTGCTACTTGAAAGCTGCCAATTTTAACACCTCCTGAACCATGAGAAGGGTTTCTGCAGTTCCCCACCAAAGGTGTTCAAAGAACAATCTAGGGAAGGAAATTGTTACTGCTGTATTTGAAACAACAACTGCTAGATTGGTTAGAGTTGTTCCAAATCCTGAGGAGTGGATTGCTTCTGTGTATAACTGAAGGGTTGTCATATATGGGATTTCTAAGGGGTTTTGTACCTTCTACACAGAAAATCACCACACAATTCCAGCCCACAGGCATTTTGCTGGATAGATTCAATCATCTTTTAAGACAGAAAAAAGGCAGTTAACTCTAATGGCCACTTTGGCCACTCCTATAATAAGATGAACTGTGATTCTGAGCGTAAAGCCTGTTCTGAGAGGAGAGGGAGTATCAAAATCAAAACATAAATTACACAAAAGCAAGAACTGAGCCTATTTTTCAGGAGGATTATGTTCTTCTATGAAATCTGCAATAGTTGTATTGCCAAGATTTAACAAATGAGAAACAAAATAAAAATTAAGTCTATTAGCACAGGCCTTTTATGGACAAAGTAGTAGCACCAATTTAACTGGATTTTGTTTGGACACCAAATCAGCAAACACATCCACAGTGATCCTAACGTAAACAAACCTGCATCCTCAAGGAAAGCTTTAATATCCTAGCAGAGGAGTAAATATTTTTGAAAAATAAATGTTGAGACAGCCTAAGTGGGCAAAATGTTCTGGGGTTTGGTTTTTTTGATGAAGCTCCCAATGAAAAGTGTGCCTGTTCTCAGCCTCCTCCTAAAATCCATTCATTCCAACTTGAAAATTGAAACATTTTCCTGACAAATAACACCAGAAGCCAATTGCATTTGCTGGTAGTGCCAATGTCCACAAATATCAGAATCCACTTTCTAAATGAAAGTCTTCATAAAAATTCAAAGGACTAAAGAGGAGAGGGGCCTTTTAAGTAGTTCCAGTAATACAAGTGCATAACAGAATTTGCAGTTATCATGACTGTAGGTGAGAAAGAAAATATGTATTTGAAGAAGTCATTACAAATTACAAAGGTATCACACTGCTGTATTAATATATAAACATGTTTATGTATGTAAACCTGTTTTATTTTGACAAAAGCTCAGATCAGTTCAGGCTCTCCATGACCTTCACTGCAGTGCTCAAACACTTCCTTATTACTTCAAAGAAGAAGAAGAAAATCTAACATATTCTGGCCAGAAGCAAATCAAAGCAGTAGTGAAAATGTTACATAAATTTATGCAGATTAAACAGAAAAAAGCCACTGGTTTTATAAACAATCCCCCCATATAAGTAAGGAGAGTTTGGACTGCTCTGAAACCATGACTGCTCTGTGCTTCTCTGGTTTTGAGCCTCTGCTCATCAGACAGAATTCCTCAGTGTGTGGTGAGTTCCTCAGGACCTATTTTTGGGTGGGCCTTCATTTCCACAGATCTAAACCCATGTACATCTAACACTGCACCTACATCTCCTGTTAGCTGTTAACACTTTTCAGGGTGTCAGAGAAGAGCCAGAGCTTTTCACTCCCTCTCAAACTGAAACCACGAGTGTATTAGAACTGTTGTTCCATCCTGGAAAGATCTCCTGGGTGAAATGCTAAATTAAGAACAGTTTAAAAGCCTTTTATACCACTATGTTAAGAATGACATTTCATACAAATCTGATCTCTAGTTTCCTCCACAACAAAGGTATCGAATGTAACCAATACCTGGGGGGCCTGTTTGTTTCCTTACATGTAAAACCAGAGTAAAACACTTCAGCACCTGCCAAAAAACCTGAGCAGGCTGACACAGCAAGGCAGGTCTCTCAGTATAAGCTGTGGAGGCCACCACTTCTTTTTAATTCACTATGTGATAAATCTGAAAACCTGGTTCTCACTTTGCTTGATTTTTTTTATCATTTCCTGGTGGTCCTTTTTTCCCTTCTAGGCTATCCACACTATGTTGAATTTGCAAGATATAGATCAAACACATTCATGGTCTTTCCAGTACCACAATATTTTTTATTTAGCTTCCAAAGTAGGCTGTTCTCTTTACAAAACATTCAGAAGATAAACATTTTGCCTCCAAGAGTTCAGTCTGAACAAACCTCCCATGGGCACACATGGACGCTCACGTGTAAACCCCACAGCTGGATCACTCTGTGTGAGGTGATGTTTTATCCCTGGATTCCTATGAAACCTTTAATTTGGGGATGTGCTACCACCACCCAAGCCTTGCTCTGTGCCATGTGCCCATTCTGGCAGTGTGGGACCACCAGGAAAGTGGGATGAGGGGTGATGCTCACACACCAAGGTACCACCAGGAAAGTGGGATGAGGGGTGATGCTCACACACCAAGGTACCACCAGGAAAGTGGGATGAGGGGTCATCCTCACACAGCAAGGTACCACCAGAGCACTGGGATGAGGGGTGATGCTCATATGCCAAGGTACCACTAGGAAAGTGGGATGAGGCATGATGCTCACACAACAAGATACCACCACGGAAGCAGCAGGAGGGGTGATGCTCTCACACCGAGGTACCACCAGAGCAGAGGATGAGGGGTGATGCCCACACTCAGAACACCACCAGGGCACTGGCAGGAGGGGTTATTCTCACACACCGAGGCACCACGGCTCACACACCACCCGGCCACGCGTGGCCGGCCCGCACAGCCCAGGGGTGACACAGCGCCCGAGGCCCCGCGGCCCCCCAGCCCAGCGCCCCTCGGGCACCGCCGCGGCCCTGCACCGGCACCGGGCACCGGGAGGCCGCGGTCAGGGCAGCCGGGCGGCCGCGACCCGGTCCCAGCCTCACCTTTGACGTCCCCCGCCAGCGCCCGCCAGGTGGGAGCGAAGGCGATGCAGTGGCCGCAGGACGAGCTGTAGAACTGCACCACCCAGGCGGTCGAGGAGTTGAGCAGCGCCGGCCGCACCGAGCCGGCCGTCAGCACGGTCAGCGGGTCGTGGCCGGGCCGGTAGAGCCGCGCGGCCGCGGCCGCCGCCAGGAGCACCGGGAGCAGCAGCGGGAGCGGCACCGGGAGCGGCACCGGGAGCGGGAGCAGCGCCCGCCGCCCCCCGCCCGCCGCCGCCATGTTGGGACGCGCGGAGAGGGGCGGGGCGGGGCCGCGCCATAGCAACGCGCCGGCCATGGCGGCCCGGCCTGGGGGTGTGCGGGGTGCTCTGAGGGGAGAGGGGCCGTCCCGTGTCCTGAGGGGAGCGAGGAGCGTCCCGTGTCCCTGAGGGGGTGCGATGTGTGCACTGAGGGGAGAGAGGAGTGTCCTGTGTTCCTGTGAGGAAAACGAGCACTGTCTTGATTCCCTGTGAGGGGAACGAAGAGTGTCGCGTGTCCTGAGGGGAACGAGGACTCTCCTACGTCCTTGAGAGAAGCAAGAAGTGTCACCTGTCACCTGAGAGTCTCGTGTCCCCTGAGGGCAGCGAGGACTATCCTGTGTCCCTGAGAGGGGAGCAACTACTGTCCTTCGTCCCCTGAGGGGAGCGGAGACTGCCCCGTGTCCCCCAGAGCCCTTCAAAATGTGGAATAAGTAAAAATTTTCATAAGCCATGATGTTCTTTGATGTTTGACCTTTCAAGCCTAATCAACAAGAAGGGAGGTTTACTCTGTGAAACAGCAGCTGATAAGCAAGCTCTGGGTGATGTCCGAGTGCCAGAAAAAACAAATTACTTGTTGGTAGAGTTATTAAGGTCTAGGGCTGGACACACTTCAATGGCTCAGGCTAGAGGGAAGTTAAAGCTTGGGAAAAAAGATGTACCACTGATAGGGGTACAAAGAACACACAATTTACGGGCCACGAGGACATTCCGCAGAACTTCACGACCCACCGTGGTCCCTTCCAATCTGCCCTGTCCTGTGATACTTTGAGATCCCTCAGTGGCCAAATTTATGTGACAATTGATATGGAAACAGAAGTTTCAACTTCACAGAGCTTCTCACTGAGAAGAGCTGAACACCTCATGGCCTCTGGGTCGAGAGCTGTTTCATCCCAAAGTACCTCTCTCAGCAGGGAAGAGCCGTTTCTCCTCAGACTGAATCTCTGACAAAAGGCTGCGCTTGGGCAGGTTGATAAAAACTCTCTACTTTCCATAAATTCAGGTTGGATTTGCACTAGTAATGGATTTTAGCACCTTTTACAGCTCTGGCCACAGTACGGACATCTCCTTTCATTTCTAAATACAGGCTTAAGAACTTTCATTACATTAATGGGAGGGAGAAAACCAACAAGACCCCCAGAGGACAATTTCAGAGGAGTTTAAAACTTAGATAATTAAAAACTGAGGTCTCTGAAAATATAATTCTTGCTTCTGTTACTCACAAGCACTTCTTTTAATCCTTGAAGAACAAGTGGGAAACAAATGGGCCTAAATTCTTACTTCAGGCCCACCAGTGTAAATCCAGAGGTTATAATTTAGTTTATTATTGTTTCTGGTCAGTAACCCACAGACAATACAAGGGTAGAAATTTAATTACAGTAAAATCTTCTCTGAGACTTGAGTAACAGATTCTCTCCCTTCTGCCTTTTCTTTTCCTGATCCTCTCTTTTTTTGACCATTAATATCTGAAGTGGTTCAGTCACACTTCTTTTGATCCATACCCCCAGCTACAGGCTAAATGATTTCCTCACATCACATCCCAGCTTTGGGGTTTTCTGTCTTTTTTTCCTGGGTACGACAAGCAACAAAATAGATGGTTACAAGAGCAGAGTCCAACAGCTCCAAAGAACTGAAAAATCTTGTGGCAGCTGCTAATTAGGATTTTAAAAATCTGCAGTGCCAAAGATATTTTAGAGCACATTTTATTCAGAAGAATTGTTAAATGTATAAAGATGAAAGAGATGGATTACAGGAAAATTAAATGTAGGGTTTAACTGAGAAATAATCATTTTCTATGAAAGATAATGACTCCTCTTGAGGCTACTATCAAGATTTATTGACCCAGGAGGTTAATATTGATCAAACCCAAGGCAAACAAAATATTAGACCTTGAAGGAGAGTAATCTTGATATTGAAGTCTTGCCACTGAGTGAACAGGTCAATATATCTGGGTGCCAGAATCTCAGGTTTTGAGCACAGAATGGTGGAGGATATTAAACATGTCTGACATGTTCTGTGTATACACTTTTTATTCTCAGCAGGAGGAGTTACTTTATAGCTGTGTCCTTCCCTGCAGAGCATCTTGTGAGAGTTCAGGCTTCACTCACAAACCTAATTGCAAATATGATGGTTATCAGCCTCAGGTGGAACATAAGGCAGCAGTCTGAAATCAAACAAGTCCTTCAACTATTATTTCATATAGAAGTGATATTTTTAATAGCTTTCATACCAAACACAAGGATCCTGATTTTGCAGCAGCAGCAGCAGAGTGACAATAAACTGAAAAAACCAGAGGACTTCAATATATAGATTTGTCATTGTATCCAACAATCTGCAAGTCCAGGAGAAAACAATTGAGTTAAATTCTACTATAAACTGACAATAAGAAAACAAATAACTTATCTGGATTAACTAATCAATGAGGATAAAAGTCAGAGACTTAAGAAAATGTACCACTAGGGACATGAAAATAGTTTCTAGGGTAAGATCAACAGTTAATATGCTCAGGGCAGAAGTTGCCTTTTTATTTCTGTTCATATGGCAACAAGCAGGGGAGGGTTTAGTGTCCTCAGGAACTGTCTGCAAAACAAAAGTACTCCCAGTCACTGCTGAGAATAGCAGCCTGTGATATAATCTGCAATTCCAATGGATTTCAGAACAAATGACGTTTTACATATGGTTTATTTTGTTTATTCAGGAAAGAATACAATATGAAACAATTCAGCATGAAAACAACTAAGACAAAATAGGTGGGACAGCAATTTACACAGTGAACCAATTACCATGCTCAGGGAATGCTTATAGTTCCTTGTTAAAATCTTGGGTTTTCCAATTTTGCCATTACAAAAGGGTTATTGATTTCCTCTGTTTTGCCAGTTAAAGTACATCCTCAGCACCCTACACTGAGATGTTGTAAGGATGCAACAGGCTCATGTGATAAATAACCCAAATCACATGCACATATTTAATTGACAGACATTGAACTTACTGATAAAAAAGTCTCCCATGTAAAGTGCATTACATCAGTATTTGTCTCATTTACATAAAACTATAGACATTTAAACTGAGTATCTGGCTCTGGGTCCTGCCCTTCCTTATGCCACATTTCTAAAGCCTTCTCCAGGTTATTTTTAACTAGTTCCATAGTGCATTAAAAAAAAAATAACGATGCACAGTCACTTTTAAATCTGCTGTAGCCATCAGGAAAAGTTTTAGACTTGTTCCAGTTAGAGGAGTTTATTCTAAACTACAGAGGCCCACAGCAACTCAGGGTGTGGGACATTTAACTCCATCTGCACATTTACATTCTTCAGACGGTCACCAATGATTTTCTGAACACGATTTTCAAAGTATGATTCACCTGTCATCGTTCACAACCTGAGCATGATAACAGAAGTAAGATCATTTGCACACAAATTGGTTCTGAAACCTGTTTGTAGAGACTTGTATACAATTTTAAAACACACTGTGCTCTTCAAAGCAGATAAAGTGCAATCTTGAATTAAAAAAAAAAAAAGAATAAAATTTCCCCCCTTTGGATTCTGTGTGACATCTAAGAAGATCATTGATCTTAACGAGCCTTCCCAAAGCACAGAACACAAGGAGAATATTTTGTGTAATATTTTTCTATCTGCATAAGTCTCTCCTTGATCCTTTCATAAATATGAATGTACAAATTAGGCCAAGGCCACCCTGGTATTTGGTACAAGTTCAGAGTTAAAGTTCTTAAATCACTTATTTCTTGACTGAAAAATAAGGAAAAAAAAAAATCAGAGATTAAAATTCCTCCATCAGGGCCCATGAGGGAAAAACTTCTAATCACAGGCTTTTCTCAGATAAATCTTATTAAGAACTCTGATTGTATCAAGGATCAAGCTGTTAAATATGCCTTCAGTCATCCTCATCTTCACTGTTAATTCATCATCACCATAATAAGTCCACTGAGACTCTTCTTTACGGAGCTCCTGAATCTAAAATATAACAAGAATAAGATCAAGAGGAGGAATATGGTTGGTTCTGAAAGGTACTGAAACACTGCACCTAATCCAACAGCTTCATGTATATAAGATATATAATAAAATATCAATATTTTATATATTGATATATTAAACCTCTCACTAGAACTGGGAATACTGGATTATTATTGCAAGTGTACTGAAAAGAAAAGCAATAACTTGAAGTTCTGAAGTAATTAAGAAAATATGATTCTCACAAAAGCACAAGAACTTCTAGTTTGGAAGTCTGCTTACCAGAATAAGGTCCAGTCTGTCTCTCTTACAGTTTCCATACTTGGTCATGTTTAGGAATTTTCTTTTCATTTCTAAGTCATTCTTTTCCAGGTTCATTATTTTAATAATTTCACCCTGAACAAATGCCTACAAAAGAAAAAAAAAAGGCTGAAAAGGATTTGCCTCAAAGGAACTGTGGCACTGTGAATGTTGTAGATCAGTGACAGGCACTGAAGATTCAGCTTTGAGGCCAGAAACCTCCCCAAGTTTAAGAACTGATCAATATTGGCCAACCAACACATTTCAGTCATAATGTTACTTTAGAAGTTAAACCTCAAGTAGTCATGATTAGGAGGACTAAGGCCCATTTCTCTACAGAGCTCCATAATTTGGAATCTTTTGACTAATCAGCTCAGTCTGTATTTATTCAGGCATTTCAGAGCAATGCTGTTTTCTTCCCCAGTCGGTTCCACTGCCATAACCCTCCCAAATTTCCCATTTCTCATTGCCATTGCAATACCTGCTCTCTTCCCTAGCTCTTGTTACTGTACTTTACATTCCCAGAACGTACCTTGACATCACTGACATCTGTTCTGCTGCAGAGATGCCTGGAACAGCGAGATCCCACGTTTATTTTCATCCATGGAAAAGTGTTTGGCTTTGCAGTCACTTGATATTCTGCACGTAACAACTCCCGGGTCAAATCAAATATAACCTGGAACAACAAAACCACAGCACTGACACAACTGAGCCTCTCACTGATGCCCTTTCAAACACTTTTCTCAGCACTTCTGAAGGATTTTGGGGGGGTGACAGGAGGGGTTTGAACCTCAGGGCAGGATTTCCTGACAGCACTGATGTTCCTATAGCTGGTGTCAGGTGTCCAGGGTCTCATGGCTGGAGAACTCTGGCAAAAGCCTTGATTCACAGCAAGAACCTCTATTCTACTGGAATTATTTTGCAGTAGATCACCAGCTTTACTTTGCAGTACCTTCCAGTGTTCCTTTAGTTACACTTTGTGTTAGCAGTCAGATTAATATTAAATATTATCTGAGTCAGTTTACAAAACACTAGAAATGTTAATTAACAGTTAATGCTTTAAAAATACCTGATTATACATCCTCTTGCTTTCTGCTTCCAAATCATTCCCTGGGAGATCATTACATTCAGAGCACTTTGGCACACTGATGCTCCTGAAATTCGAATTTATGTTTTCTGGGGTCCATAATTCTTCTACAGCACATGCAGACAAGTTTCTAACATAAGAACTGCAATGTGGTATCACAAGAGGAACTTCCACGGTTTTCTTCCAAGGAGCTGAGTGCCACTGATCTAATTTGTACAAGCATTGCTTTTGCCTTTGTCTCACCAGCATATGTTGGTCAGAATAAGGCTGAACAAAGTCTTCAGAGCTTCCAAAAACACCAGCATCAAGGATTTTATTGAGGAGCTTCAGAAGAGAGGGGAAAAAAAAAAATAAAAAACCACCAGATGACATACTCCATGTTTCCCCACAATTTTTAGAAGTGTTGAGATTATTAGCAACTGATTAAGGTTACTTTTAAAACCATCTTCTTACTCATGGGCTCATAGAAAGCCTTAGTGATACATCATTAAAAAAACCACCTATTTTAACTGCATTGGGCAACATTCAGAATTCGGAAGAATTCCAAATCTGAAGTTCTTTGGAAATTTGACACTTTGAAACATTTTTGTTCTAAAGGTGGACTACTCTCCCCCCAGAGCAGTTTTCTCACAGCCAGGAGCTGCAAAGGACTTAGGCAGAGCTGACAAGTGTCCAGGTTTGCTCTGAAATGAATCGAAATTCAAGTTTGTGCAGATTTATCAGTTTTGACAAGTGACAAATTCCAACACGGAAGTTCCCATTTGCTTTGTTTGCACTATCTGTAGCTCTTATCCCCATGCTCAGCTCATCCTTTCCCCCCATACACTGGCTGTAGGATAATTCCTTAAATGAGGAATGGGTCAGATTAAGGGAAAAACCTGGCTCCTGAGATTGACATGATGTAATTTTTATGAATGATGAAAAACTGGGCCACACAAATTCTTGCCTGTATAGACCCAGCTTCAGGTCCAACACTTTAAATAAAAACACTCCCACTGTACTTACTGGCAGAGCGATTGGAGAAGTCTCTGAAGATAAATGAAGTATCTTGTCTGCTTTTGATCCATGTTTTCTTTTAATCTTCTTATATGCTTTAACTGCATCATCTATAAATTTAGTTACAATTCTTTCTGCTACTGTGTGACAACCATGAATACAAAGCGTATCAAAATCACCCAGGAAAACATCAGAAACCTTTGCTGATGGTTCAGATAAGACAGCAGCTGAATTTTCTTTGAGGAGAAACAGTTTCTGATTGTCTCCTTCCCTTAGGCCTTCGCTGCAATTCATCATGTCCTTTTCAAAGGCACTTTTATATTTGTGTTGAGCTGTTTCTGAAAATGCAATTAAAACGTCAAACAGAAGTTTTTTACCGAGTTCACTTGCAACGTCATCAGCAAGTTTAATTCTTTTCTGATCCTCTACCAAGCAACAAATATTTTTGCTTGTGTTTACTTCATCTGTGTTATTGGTCTTGCTTTTCTTTGGAAGCACAGCTGCAATTATACTTTGTCTTATTTGTGCCAGTTCTGTTTTTTCCTTGTCTGATCCCAAGTACATTAAGTTCTTTTGACAGAGAAATTCAGTACACTTATACTGGTTGCAATGTGGAAATTTTTGATCTTTTCTAGACAGCAAGGCAGAATGTAACCTGGATTGGCTTTCTTTTCCTTCTGAACCTCCTGCACTTTTTGTGTCTTCTGCTTTCTCCTCTGTAAACCCCACTCTCTGCTCATCACCTCCAGAATATCTGCAGTCCCCTTTGAAGAATTCATCGTCACAGGAGTCAGAGTCTTCATCCCCAGTGGAACTGGAACCCTTTTTGTTATCCCCCAAGAGGTGTGAGACCTCCTCAGGCCTGACAAAGACACCACAGTGCTGAGCACACTCAAAATACTTCACCCCTTGGTAAGTTCCAGCATTGTCACCTTCAGCTTTGTCCAGTGCAACACCAGCCCAGTGGCCACTGGCAAAATGAGTCCATCCTTTGAACATGAGAGTTCCAGGCTGGCTCTGCTTTACCAGCACTCTGTCCCCAATTTCAAATGATCTCAATGGGTCATCACTGTCCCCCTCAGTGCTGGGCAGCATTAAGTGTGTTGTACATTGTTTCATTAATAAGTCAGGACTTTTACTGGCCTGGCCAGAAGAAACAGAGTTTAACACAGGCTGGAGCTCCAAATGCTGCAAAGGTGCCTCGTGTTCTCCTTGCTGGTGTTCTGATAAGTCCTCCTTTGAGCTGGAAATGGCTTGAAGTGAAGATTGTTCTGAGAGACAACCAGCCTGAGTTGAAAAAGCATCAATTGTCTCTTGACTGAGCAGGGGAAATTCTTGAGGCATGATGTTATCAGGTAATGGGGGTAATACATCCATTTTCAGTGATATATCTTCATCCATACCCTGACTGGTCTCTGAGCCTGTCATTTGTTCTGGTGGGGATGGGAAATCATCTGTGCTGGAGGTAGGATCATCATTTTTCGTTGCACCTGCACCTAAAGAGGGAGGAGGAAGATCTTCACTTGGAAATGACAAATCCTTTTTGTTAGAGGATGGCAAGTCAGCACTTCCACAGGACAATACTTCATCCACGGGAGACAGGATTTCCGACAAGGCATCCTCAGCAGCTGGAGGGAGACCCTTATCACTAATAGAGGTTACATCATCTTCTCCTTTGGAAGAGCAGTTCTCAGCCTGAAACAATTGCTTTTTTGAGGAGGCAGAAGAAAAGAGTCCCCTCTGGGGAGACAGACATGCTAACAATTTGTTATTTGCAATATCTCTGTCAGGCAGAAAAGAAACAGTGTTCCCAAGCTGGTCAGTAACTAAATCTCGATGTTTCAAAGAAACTGTTGCTGGAAAACCCATTAGGTCTCTATTCTGATCCACAAATGAACAGTTAATTTCCCCTAACACTCTGTTAGTTGTAGAATTAGGTTTCTGCTGTTCATAGATCTTAGGTGAATAAATATCATCACTGCATGAAGAGCTGGCAGATGCATCATTACCCTGTTTTGTGACCTCCTGAGGACAGGATTTGTTTCTACTGAAGCTTCCAGAGGCACCCAGATGTGGCTCAACCATTCCCTCATCAGGGTTATCAGATTGGGAGGAACGTTCTGGCTGGGTTTTGGAGGCATTTGCTTTGTCTGCTGGAATGAAAGAAAGCAGATGATCAGTGCAGCCATGATCCAACACATCTCCAGGGTATTTCTGGGAGTGTGATGAAATCTCAGCGCTCTCATCTTCAGGCAGTTCATGTTCATCAGTGGGTGATGTTTCCTTTCCATTACTTATTGCTACTGGCACCTCTTTTGAGAGGTCAGGAAACACATCACCACTGTCATGGACAAACTCTTCTGGGACACTGACACCTGTGCCCTCTCCATGTTTCAGCTCTAATTCTGAATCTGAAATGGAGCTTTCCGAGATGTCAACCCAAACTGCAGACACTCTCTGAAATTCCGGGGGTGAAGAGGCTGATTTGGCACTTTCACATTTCAAAAAGAAGTTGTTTGGCATGGATGATGATTCAGTGGAAGCAAATCCTTCAGAAAATGCTTTTAAATTTAGTTCTTCATCAGAAGCTTCATGAGAAACATGGTCCAAATTCTTCAAACACTGACTGTGATCCAGCTGATGGATCTCAGAAAGAACAGGCACTTCCACTTCTTTAACTGGAACATTTAAAAGATTTTTTTTAAATCAGTATTTCATTAAAAAGTATTTTCTAGGAGAGGTTGCTGATAGATCACTTAGGATACACAAGTCTATAGTCTCCCTCACTATGGTATCCAGGATTAAATGCAGGAAGATGGTTCATTAGAAAAATGACACAAATACAAACTATTGCCACAATATGTAAATATTTATAATACAGAGATTATGCATACCCAGAACTATGTAAATGATATAACTGACTCATATATAAACAGACAGTTTTACTTTTTATATGTCCTTCTGAGGAGTAAGAAATACAAACTGAGGATAAAACCTGGAAACAAAAATAACTCCAGTGTGTCTGTCAAAGTCTATCTTCAACTGATCTATGTTCTTTTAAAAAGAACAGCCTTAAATTACTGAAAAAAATGCCTCAAAGAGGCTAAATTGTTAATGATACAATCAGAATAAGTTATGATTTTGTTCTGAGGAAGCAGTGTAATCATATCTCCTAATAAACCTTGGAGACATCCCCCCATCTTGCCTGATTTATATATTGGATATAGTGAGCAAGACACTTTGGTAATAAGTGAGAGGACTGTCTTTCTGTCTGGATTAAAGTTTGAGTGAAGTGGTTGAAACAGATTGGACATAATAGCATTAAATATGATTTACCTGTTCCTTCAGGACTATTCTCTGCCTGAACCATGCATAAGTTACACCAGGTAGAAAGCATCCCCAAGCTTTTCACTGTGAACTTGCTGCCACATGGACTAATATCTTCATTGCCTTCAGGATCCACCTTTGGGTTTGAAACAAGTGCCTTTTCCTCCAGCACAGATTCCTAGAATGTAAATATTTAAGAGACACAGTTAATATCTTAAGGGAAATATCTTTGCTGGCAGAAAGAATAGTTGAGATCAGATTAAATTTACATGTTTCCCCTAAGATATATAAGGACATATGGACTCCTGAGCACATATATCCATGTTGGGGCTGTATCAGTGAGGTAGGAAATAGGGAAGGGACTGGTCTCTGCAGATGCTGTAGGAAGGAGTTTAGTGCTCTAGGAACAGGTTTAGTTTCCCCTGGAGCAGCACAGCACTTACCCACAGGAGATGAATTAAACCCATTGTCACCACTTAAGAGCACAGAGAACATGGAAGAGGTGGGAAAACTGGTGAACCAGGTCAAAATTTAGTGTTTAGTTGAAGTGAATGTAACCAACACATCAGACTGATTTTTACTTAATGTCATAACTGCCAAATGAGCCTTGGGCTGGTCCTGCCTTAAGGCAAATATAGCCCAGGGCACCATTTCTTTAGGCATTAATGGAATTCCAAAGGCATCCTTACCTGAAGTGCACACTTCCTGCCTTCTCTCATAATGGGTGTAGATATGGGTTCGTCCATTTTAGCTGAATTTATATGTTCCAGAGGTAATAAAACCTTACCCTGAGCAATAAGTTCTGAAAGGTACAACATTAAATTACCATGTTTCCAGTGCTAGTTTTTCATATCAATAACTTTACTTTGGCTTTTTGTTTAGCTCAGTCTTATTTCAACTCATTGATAATTTGAGTAACCATTGCCCTACACATTCCTAGTCACACCACCAGCAGCTGAAAGGACCAGTGACTTTAGCAATCATCACCTTAAGTATCATCCAGTTCCATGGCAGCAACTGGAAAGCCAAATTCCAATAATTTCTACCCTTTCTTTCTTCGTCTATGCACAGCTGCTGCCTCAACAAAGCAATTTATACCTTTCCTACTCATTCTTGCTAATTCCAAGCAGATCCTGGCACCAACACTCACACTGGAGGCAACCAAGGAACATCTCAACATCCCAAGTTCTCTCTCAGGGGCTAATTAGCTCAAAGTCCTCTTCTGAAAGAGAGCTCCAAAGAGCAGCTGAGACTTCCTTCAACTTTTGCTCTAAAATGAGTAAGTAGTCACAGACCTGGTTTGCTGCAGAATTCTGTAATGGGTACCTGTGGTTTTGCAGTCTTTATGGTTAAAGAGGGAGCCTGTGGTTTCACCAGCAGCACCACACACTTTCTTGGCCACCATTCCAGACATTTTCACACTAAGGGACTGCTCCAAACCTGGAGACTCCTCTGCCTGTTCCTGGTGTTGTTCCAGTGTTCCCTTGTTCTCAGTAGAAAAGCTGTAAACAGTTGTACAAAGGATTCATGATTGGGAGTGGGGTTTGTGTTTCCAGGTTAGTCATGACAAATCCATATGAAGTAATAAAGGTACAAATTAAATGCTTCTGATAGTGCTTGATAGTATCTCTGGAGTGTTTCTAAACCAGCAAATTAGTAAAGCCAGAAACACTCTGAATAGTGTATTTATTTCTCCAATCCCTTCCCTCTCACTTGATATTGTATTTTGTACAGTCAGATTTCAAACCTTCCTAGACAGGAACAGGAGGAGACTGAAAAAAAAAATGTTAGAACTCAAAAAGCAAAACGAGGGTCAAACTCTGGACCTGTCTGCCTCCTCTGTTTCCAATCAATTACAGCATATCATATCAGATTTTGACAATTCTCATTAAATTTTCTACTTCAAATATAGCTTTATGGACATTTGGGACATCAGATACTGATTTTGATGGTGACTTTGAACTTTCTAAACAGTCTCCTTACTGCAAAAGCACAAGGCAACATGACTCACACTCACAGGCTTTTCCCTTAGTTCTATAATTAACAGCTGAGTAAGTTATTCTGTCCAGAAAAAACCCCAAACAAAAAAAAAAGAAAACCAAACAAAAAAAAAAAGAAAACCAAACAAAAACACACAAGAAAAACAAAACAAAACAAAAAAAACCAAACAAAAACCACAAAAACCCCCCACAAAACCACAGGACAGAGATCTGTGGACAATCAGCCCAAATTTGGGTGCATTTGAGTTCCAGCAGGCCCTGGCTGCTCTAGAGTGACACCAATATTCACTGTTCTCCTATGAGCAGGCTTGTCAGTAATAAGAAGTGAAAGCACAGCCAAGAAACCTTTTAAAGATTCCTCTGACTTGTAATCAATAACACCATGAATTATAGATCAGTTCCATGCAGGGATTTATTTGAAAGCCTTTCCCTGTGGGGACTTAAGTAAATGCACAAACCTGACTCACCATTCTGCTAAAGCTCTGGCTACACTGAATGAAAAGGGGGTTTAATTCACATAGATATGTATTTTTCTTTAACATTTTCTTCCTGAAGCAAACTAGATTTAGTTCTGAGCTCTGTGGATGCTGTTGGGTTCTCACCCCTCCAGCCCAGACAGAAGCAGACAGGGATGCTGGGAATACAACTCCTGGGAAACAGGAGGCTGATGATTCCTCTGACTAAACTCCTGAATTACTTCTCACTGTGGGCATTTTACATGACACCTCTGTGCTTCAGTTTAAGCATGAAATTTAGCCCTGGGTATTACAAAATCCTTCTGTGGTTAAATCCTCAGTGAAACACAAACCTGCTCTGAGGGGTTAGGTGATACATAGGGAGGATGACAAAGGAGAGAATTTCACCAATTAAATCAATACATTTCTACTCATTCCGTGTGGGTATTTTGAAGTCTAATTAATATATAGTTGCAAAGAGGGTTGAGTTTGCTGTTAAAAGCCACAATGAAAATGTGAACTATCATTAGTAGCTGTGTGGCATCATTAAAAGTGCCCTGAGGAACTCACCATTTGGGACACCAGGTCGGTCAGAATGATAAGCAGTGATCTTTATGCATCAACTGCTTGATCATAAAGGTTTTCAAAACTTATCACTATAAAACTCCCCTCTTTGGGGTATTTGAAGCTCACACAATTATCTAGGACATAACTGTCTCAATCTGCTCCACGGGATTGGTTCTTATCTTCAGCTATCACTGAGAAAGGGTTTTACTTACCCCTCGTGTTTCTTCTCTTTATGCTTTAGCTGGAGACAACTCTCTTTACTCCCTGACAGCTCAGGCCTTTCTGGAGGGGCTGCAGACTCTGCTGAAGAGGAGTAGGAGGACTTTGGGCCAGAAATAAGCTTCATTTTCTTCAGTTTTATTGCTTCTTCAGTTGCTGGGTTCCTCACAACCTAAAAGGAAAAGATAACAGAAGGTTTTACCTGTGCTCCTCAGCTGTAGGATCAGCTCTGGCTTCAGCTTTTATCCACCCAAAAACCCACTGGGACATCCAGTGACTGTGACTTCACAACCTCTTGCTTCCCAGAAAAATTGTGCAGCTTTTCCTGGAGTTGTGCCGTTGAATGCTGCATCATTAAGATTTCTCTTTGCTGCTTTAACAAAAGCTTTCTTTCTTGATGGGCTGCCCTGTAGATGTTTTGCAGGTGCTGGATTTCTGCCTACGCAAAGCAGAAAAGGAAAGGAGCATAAGAGCACAAGACCTACTTAAAAAGTTATAAAGTTTCTTAACATACTACTCATAAAACACCCTGAAAATTCAATATGTATGTTTGGTTCCTTTTTTTGTAAAAAATTTTGCAGTTTTATTTTTCACTGGGGGCTTAAGGAGGGGTTTACCTGTGAAAACCAATGACAGAAAAGGGGATATTTCAATGGTGTGTCAAGAGGTGACACCTTTAAAAATTAATTATGTTCAGATCATTCAAAACTACAGGATGCTTGTGGTTTGCATTAGGAAAGGAATCCCTTTAAGGGAAGGACAGGCTTGTACTACATAAGGAGCAGGACACACTTTCTCACTACTAAGTGTAATTATGAACCCCACACAGCAGAATAACTGAGACTATAAAATTAGCTGTCAGATTAATTTAATGTATTTCAACATCAGAAGCATAAATCTGCATAAATCAGTGAAAACCTATATTACATGACCTGTTTGTTATAGCATAAATAGAAAAATCCACAATAACAGTGAAGTAGCAGAAAACAAGATATAAAAAGATGTTTTCTTTTATCCAAGATTTACAGACTGCTGACTTTGGCACAAAAAACACCTCCCTGAATGTAGGAAACAGTCAGAATAACACATACAAAGTGACTTTTTTTTTTTTTTTAAAGCAAACCCCACTTGCTCCAGCAATTCCCTGTGCTGCATCTTCCCACTAGTTATGAGATGGAGCCCAGGTCCTCTCACTGTAGCATTACCTGCTCCTGTTTCAGCTCCATGAGGATTTTATGCTGCTTTGCTGCCATGGCAGAGGCTCCATGACTATCCTGCAGGTTTTCTAGAACACTGGAGATCAGAGAAGGATGAGAATCACAATCAGATAATTAAATGCCTTGAATTTACTGCACTTCAGAAAACAACACCAGGGATGGGAGAAAAGCTCCTCTCAAACCAGCAGTAGCTATGGAGGGCTCTGCAGAAAGTTCCTCAAGATTGAGAGGACATCTCCCAACCTTGGGGCTGTGGTGCCTGGACCCGTCCCAAGGCAGATGGAGTCCCCTGAGTACTCAATGCACAGCACTGGTGAGGGACACGGTGCATTGGGGGTGCTCACACTGCACCCCTCACCATCCCTGAGGGTCCATCAGCTCAGTCAGCGCTGCAGGAAACCCCTCATTGTCCCTGAGGGCATCTTAGCTTTGTCAGAACATCCCCCCTCATCCCTGAGAGTCACTCATCCCAGTTGGCACTGAGGGACACCCCTCACTGCCCCTGAGGGCTCCTCATCCCAGTCGGCGCTGAGGGACATCCCTCACAGTCGGCACTGAGGGACACCCCTCACAGTCCCTGAGGGCTCCTCATCTCAGTCGGCGCTGAGGGACACCCCTCACCGTCCCTGAGGGTTCCTCATCTCAGTCAGCACTGAGGGACACCCCTCACCGTCCCTGAGGGCTCCTCATCTCAGTCGGCGCTGAGGGACACCCCTCACAGTCCCTGAGGGCTCCTCAGCCCAGTTGGCGCCTTGCACCACCCCAAAGGAGGCTGCAGTTGGAAGCTCAGCTCTGCTCTGGAGAGACTAAAACCATGCAGGTTCCTCTCATCTTCTCCTGCTATACCTACACTTGCTTTCTGAGAGAAGGGTTTATATTTGTTCTCTTTCCCTGAAAGGAAGAAAAAGAAGAAAAGCAGCCCTGGCCTGGCAGGTCTCTGGCGCTGAGGGCCCTGTCCCCGCCATGGCAGGTTTGGTGTCCTGCCCATTGTGCCCCCTCACCGTCTCTGGTGGCCCAGCCAGGCCAGCTCAGCCCTGGCCTTCTCCTTCAGAGCCTTTTTGCGGAGCTGGAGGAGGGTGGCCTGGTGTCGAGCCCGCAGCTCCTCTCCCCTCAGGCACTGCTGCGCCAGGGCCAGGCTGAGGCGGCAAAACGTGCTGGAGCCTCCATAGACCGCAATGGCTGCACTGCACTGGGGAGAGAGCAGAGCGTCAGAGTCACTGATAGAGGGACAAAAAGCCAAAAACCACCCCAAACGCAGAGAAAACCACCCCTCAGACTGTTCCCAGAGCTGGAGCTACCTGGCTGTCGCAGCTGGCCTGGTCACTGCTCTCTCCAGAGTTGTCCCCTGCACAGGTCTCCCCATGGGGCAGAGCCACCAGAGGTGACAACAGATTCGCAGTTTGATGGTTGTGCAGTGGCTCCCTGTGATCTGCTGCCAGGGATCCTAAGGAAAGGAATTAACGTCACTATAAATAAAATATCTGTAACAGAAGGAAAAAGAGAGACCGAAAAAAACAACTCCCACAGTACAAGCTAATGTCCATTTCTGAATTCAAGGCACCTTCGCAAAGACTTGGAAGCCAGGCCCATGCACTGCCCTCAGAGCCGGAGGAGTCACCCCATGGCTGTTCACTCACAGGAGCAAGGTATGAACTAAACTCTCTATTAAGTGCAATCATGGTAAACAGGTAAAAAGGAAAAAGGGGCCCATCAATAGGGTAAATAACTCCCAGCTCCTAAGATAATTTTCCGTAGAGAGGTCCAGCGTACAAAGGGAGATTGCTATGGTTTAGATATGGATAATGAATATAAGTATTTACATCAAAATTTTCAAAGTCAGTTACCTGTCAGTTCCAGGACAGGCTGGATGGGGCTTTCATCAGCCTGGTCTAGGGGAAGGTGTCCCTGCCCATGGCAAGGGTTGGGATGAGATGATCTTTAAGGTCCCTTCCAACCCGAGCCATCCTGTGATTACATGTCCCAGCCCCTGGATGTTTCACTGTTTCTAATGCTGTGTTAAGAAGTGTTGTTTTCCCTATACCACCAAATCCTTCAACTTAGCATTCACCTTCTTGCAGCACTGAGCAATATGAACCTCTTCCTCCCAGAGGTTTTCTCTCTTCTGCTATTTTGGGATCCACTGGAGTGTGATCTCTTTCTATCTTCAGTGTAGGTTGTTTCAGTGAACACATCTTTTGATTACTGAAAGTAAGAAAGAATGGAAATATTTCCTTATTGCAGTCAGAGATACTATTTCAATTCCTACCTTTCGTAGCTAAACCTCTGTGGAAGCTGAATTTTTTTCAAACCAGAATGCTGCTCATTTTTATGTGATGTGAAAGTTTTACCTGTGCAAAAGAGCCTTTCTGGTAATTGCATCCATAAGACCCTAGAAGCAATTCTCAGGTCTTTATGCCACTTTAAATGAACATAAAAATGTGCACATACAATATTCTCATTCCCACCAGGGTATATGAGGGTAATGCAAAATGAGGAAAATTATATTGTCCCACAAGTTTCAAAGGGCCTTCTACCTTTTAAAAATGCAGCATCTCCCCCAAGATTGGAAGGTGTTAATATTACAGTTTGGGCATAAATCAGAGTAAAAAGACTGTATTGCAATTGCTTTAGTGCCCTAAATTGTTCATATAGTCAAACCACAGGCCAAATCATCAGGGTGCCTCACTGCATCCTGCCTCCTGTACCTGCCAGCAGCGTGGTCACCTTCCAGCCGGTGTCCTCTCCGTGTTTGCTCCGTGTGGTACAATCCTAGCACAGAAGGATCTCTGCCTCTGGAGCTCCTGCACTCCTGCACACACAGAAACTATCTATAGACCTCCAGACCTATTTGAAAGGCAGAACTTCTAAGCCTTCTTCCCTCATCCTCTTGGGAAAGCACCTCGTTGTAGATAATGTAAAGGAGACTTTTTGGTTAATATTAGCATCACACTAGTCTCTCATGCCTGAGCAAGTATCACTGTGATTGTTTCTTGAGGACTTAAAACCTTCTCTTGATTTTACAACAAAACCAGCCATAGACACCAAAAGCTGCAGCACCTCAGTGATTTCAGATCAACACTCCAAGTGACAGTCTAAGGGACTCTGTTACCTGAGAGACCTGGGTGCTTCCAAAAAGTTACCCTGATCTACAGCTTTTATGAGTTAAAAAACCTCTTTTGATTAAGGGACTCTAAGTGAGAATAAAACCCAGTGGGGATTGGAGGAACGCTTTGCTGAACCTAGAGGTGTTAACCCAGGATACGAAATGATAACTTACCTCAGAGCTGTGCTGCAGCAAGTCACTCAAAAACCTCTGGCTTTCCTGAACCTCTTGCTTTGCTTTCTCCCTCAGCACCATAAGCTGCTGTTTCTGCTGGAGCTGATGGATCTGTGTTAGGAAATGACACACCATAAATGAGGTTTTTAACCAGGTGACACAGCACCTCAGAGCTTGGGAGCAAAGGGCAGCCAGCTCCAAGAGAAGAGCAGGAAACACTGCTTTGGTTACAGCACAGCAACTTGTTCTTACCCACCAAAACTACAGCGAATAAAGCTGTTTTATAGCTCCCTGGGGGTTTATAAACGTGCTGCAGATCAGCTGATTACACGTAAGCACACCTGAATCCAGGGACAGCAGCACCTTCACCGACCTTCAGTTTGTGAGCCAGCAGTAGGGAGGTTTGCCTCAAAATGTCCAGGTGGCTCCTGTGTTTGTGTTCCAGCTCTGTGTAGCTACAGTCTCCCTCACCTGCAGAAGTTTAGGAAATAGAGGGTAACAGTCACCATTTAATTAAAAGAACCTGTTCTTCATTTAATGTCTGCCAGCTGGAGAAATATCAGAATTAATCAGAGGCAGACAGTGGAACCAGATTCCTTCAGATTCCAGTTGCTGCCCTGAAAGTGTTTCTACACTGTCAAAATCCTTTGGTATTTAAGCATTTACGAAGTGTTTTCCCAGCAGGGCTGACTTGCTGGCTCACCACTGAGGCCAGTACACCTTGGAAATAATCTGACAGTACCAAGGTATTTCCAACAGAGTTCCAGGGCATCTGTTTCTCAGCCTTCTCTGCTGCATTACCTGACTGTACTTCCCAAACGTCTCTGAGTCCTGATACATAAACAAGGGATCATCACAAGGGGAATTTGTACATTGCTCCTACTGCATTTTCCTTTTCAATCCTCCCTGGGCCTATTTTTGGAAGCGTCCCAAATCTGACATCTGCCTTTATTCCCAAAATAACTTCTCTGCATACATTTGCTTCTTCTGCCATAACTGTAGAAGGAAAATGTCACTACCTACATCCTGTCAAAAAATCTGTGAGCATGAAGTCCTGCAAGTATTGGGAAGAGGTAGAACTTGAGGGTCTATGCCAGGAAAGAGAAGGACTGGGGAACAATTCCTGTTCTAAGCCTGAATTCCAGAGTGTGGGTTATTGTCTCTCTTGGTCCCACTGCTCCTTTGCTGCACCAACAGGATCAGATCCACCAGGTAAAAAAGAAAAGCTTCCCAACAGGTCATTTCTTCAGGAACTTGAGCTGCATCCCTCGTGTCCCTTCCATGTGTACAGGGGTGCAGGCTGATTCCTCTTTTGCCACAGGGGGACAAAAACCCCTGGAAAAAAGCTGTTATTTTTAAGTGGAGATGCTTTCTTTCTTGTTCCACGGGCACCTATTTCCCTGCTCCTTCCTTATTGTAACTCCCCTGCCTGTCTTGGATGCTGCAGGTGATGTAATGTTTACCAGAGATATGTTCTTGGCTGCTTTGAGCTCCTCAGATGAATTGCTCAGCTTATGCAAACAGGTCTGGTGTTTACTCTGTGCTGTGCCACTGTCACAGCAACCAGAGTCATAAATGAATTGAAGTGAGGGTCATAAATAGAAATAGGTTTGACTTGGAAACTTGAGATAAAATCTGTGTCTCTCTCCAGATCATCTGAATCCAAATTGCCCCACGCTGCAGAATAAGCCCACAACATGCAGGGTTTGTTTTTGCTTTAAATACTGAAGGATCTTTAACACAGGAGGAGCAGAGATGTGGCCTTGTTTGCATGCCAGGATGGGGTTTGTGTTTACGTGGGTGTGAGTGAAATAAAATATTAAATCTTCCAGCCCGATGCAGATTTTCTATTAGGCTGCTGCTCTGTTTTTATAAACAGCCTGACTGCACATTTCACTTACCACTTACTATGGGAGGTTTTTCTTAACCCCCTCCTTTTCAGAATCGAGGGACTGGATAAAAAAATCTCTTATTTTAGTAATGGGCATTTCCTGGGTTTAGAGGGTGGTTGGAAAAGGCAAAATCACACCAAATTACCGAGAAATCACATGCCAAAGGAAGAGTTCATCCTTTTAAAAGTATTTTTGGTTTTAGCCAATCTTTCTAATTCTGAGGACTGATTCAGATTCTTTAATGCTGGTATTTGCTAGAGATGATTTTGTGAAATGGCATATTTAGGAAAACTGAGTGGGTGAAAGAGCTGTTGTTTCTACAGGGAAATTTTGAAGCAATGCAATAGGAAAAAAAAGTGAACAGTTCTTTAGCAGGTAAACAGACACCACTTTCAAAAGCTCCTTCAATACTAACAAATAAGATCATTTTATTACAAAAAAAAATTGCAAGCTAAATTTGTTGATGCTAAGTTGTCTGAGTAGCTTTTAATACTAATATCTGGGCCTCTTGAAAGTATGATCATCTATTGGGATATAGTTAAAAACCTGGCAAATATTTCTAATTTGTGTCTCAAACTGAACAATGCTACTGTTGTTCTGCTCAAAGCCTGACCACTGGTATTGATCTTGAAGTGATTAAAAAGTTTGATCTGTTTTCACTGCTTTTGAGCATAATTTTCCTAATTGTGGCTATTTCCAGATGCATTTCTTGTGTTGTAACATCCTGCATTAAAGAAAATGCCATCTGGCTAAACTTCCCATCCTTTTCTGTGATGATGAATGGCATTTTACTGCCTCCCCAGATAGCTCCAACGTGCACACACTCAGCCTTGGGAAAAAAAATGCTATTTATTAAATCACTTTCCGCTGCACCTGCAGAATCTCAGTAAAGCCCTGTAGAATCTCCCTGACATATAATTAAAAAAGCCAGGCTAAAAGTCTCATTTTTCTAATCACTTGAAGCAAGGCAGAAGCATTTTACTGCTGCTTTACTCAAGGACAGCTTTTCCTCTTTCTGCCCATGTCAGCAATCAGACCAACCCAGCTATTACAAAAATACAGACTTGCAACTTTAGCATAAGCACAACTTTGACTGCCTAATTCCCTGGATGTGTAGGAATATGGGGTGCAAAGTGTCCTGAAATGCTGCTGTGGAGCAGAGCAACAGGTCCAGAAAGAATTGACCCGTTTGCCCCCTTTTGGGCAATCCTTCCTCTCTCCAAAATTACTG